TTTGTGGAGCCCTTAAAGTACCTCTGCAGAATTGTGGTCTTCCACACTGCTCTATAATGCTATTGATCCTTGCATGGTTGTGTCCTGTCTCCCCACCAACTGGACTACATAACACCTACATGGGAAAAGATCAGATCTTACCTATTGTTGTAGCCCCAGCATCTAGTACAGTAGATCTTACATGTATTAGATGCTCAATAAACATGTCTTAATATTAACAATCATTATAAATAGAATTTAAATATAATGCATAAAGACAATTATTAATCAACTATGTGAACACTGATTTGAATAGGTGCCAACTTCTAAGGACTCACTTTCTTTTTATTTTTTTAATTTATCTTTTTAAAAAATTTGTCTTTATTGTTGAAAGTGTTACAGATGTTCCTTTTTTCCCCCCAATTATCTCCCTGCACCTTGCAACCATCCCCTTCCCATGACTTCAATGCACTATTGTCTGTGTCTATGGGTTATGTATGTATGCATATAAGTTCTTTGGTTAATTTATTCTCACCACCCCCTTGAAAAAATTTCTGATGCCATCTTGCTTTTGAGTCATTTACTTCTCCATAAAGACAGAATGAAGAGTTTAATGTACGTCTCCTTGCTATAAAATTTTATTATTAAATCAAAGGATTAAAAGTCCTTTTTAAGTGGTTTTCCCCACCTCTAAATAATGGAATCATCTACCAGTACTATTTGACTTATCAGCAAAATTCAAATATTAGCTATAGTAAGGCTATTCAAATGTTTTTGTTACTGTTTTGCAGGATCATCATGCTAATAAAATTTTATAAGGACTCTCAATAGATAAAACTGAAAAAACTAACACATCTCTGAAGTTGATGTAGAGACTCCTTAGCCCCCATGTGCTCAGTGTTCATGCTCAAATCCCCCGGTTATCCCTGACATGTGGCTGTGATGACTACCATGGGAAAACCACGATCCAACGTATTCACACCATGGCAATTAAATTTACACCTAAGAGTCAACGTACTTTTTCTTATTGTCACATGCCTAAGTGTGCTTATAGAATGTATGGAACAATATCCCTCACCATTTCAAGAATCTATGCAGAGTATTTTAAAGAGTCTGCAAGATTTCCATATATTTAATTTTCAATATCAAACACTTCTGCAGAAGCCCAAAACACAATTTCCCCTAAACTCCTGGAAGGCAGCAGCAGGAGAGACTTGATTCCTTGGCAACTACTATGATAGTCCTTGGTAAGCATAGACAAAATAGATGACTACAACTGCTATAAAAACTAGGTTAGAGTGTTCAGCAATTAAATCTCTGAAAAATCCCTCAAATCATTAAGCAATATCACAGTTCACTTAACTTCAAAGACCAAGGACACGCTCTAGAACAGGGGTGAGGAACCTTTTTTCTGCCAAGGGCCATTTGAATATTTACAACATCATTTGAGGGCCATACAAATTTATCAACTTAAAAATTAGCCTGCTATATTTGGTCAAATATTTAATTAACTCACCCCTGCTGCCTCGGCAGGGCCAGACAAAATGATTTTACAGGCCTTATATGGCCCGCAGGCCAAACATTCCCCACTTCTGTTCTAGAGCTACATTCAGATAGGTCATCAACTTTTCCTTCATCTTAGCCAAATAAACATCAATTCCTTTCAATTTTTCTTCCATATTATTTATCAGTACCATGAACACCACTATAGCTTAACCCCGTGGTCGGCAAACTGCGGCTCCCGAGCCACATGCGGCTCTTTGGCCCCTTGAGTGTGGCTCTTCCTAAGCCTTAGGAGTACCCTAATTAAGTTAATAACAATGTACCTACCTATATAGTTTAAAAAATTTGGCTCTCAAAAGAAATTTCAATCATTGTACTGTTGATATTTGGCTCTGTTGACTAACCCAACAGCAGCTCCCTATACTATCTACTTGATTCCTTCCCTTCTCCCTTCCAATCCAAGATTACTCTTCCTGGTGTATTTCTTAAACACTCACTATGTTCAAATCACTGTTCAAAGCATGGGGATAGAGCACTGAAGAAAGCTTACTTTTATTACATGTCATATTATCATGGGATGACATTGATTCCTATTTCACAGAGAAAATAGAGGCTACTGGATTAAAATTTTCACAAGTTCCCATCTGTGCCCATACACTCTAACTTCCCTATCCATATTCCTATTTAAGAATATGCCTCCACCGCTCCGCTGCCTTGACGTAGTGGTTGGGAGTCAAGCCATGAACCAGGAGATCATTCCCAGTTAGGGCATGTGCCCGGGTTGTGGGCTCAATTCCTAGTGGGCGGCATGCAAGAGACAGCCGATCAATGAATTCTCTCTCATCACTGATGTTTCTACTCTCTGTCCTCCTTTCCTCTCTGAAAGCAATAAAAATATATTTTAAAAAAATATGCCTCGAGGAGAAACCAAGATGGTGACATAGGTAAACACCTGAAATTGCTGCCTCGCACAACCACTTCAAAATACAGCTAAAAGACAAAACGGACAGCATCGAGAACCACAGGAAGGCTGACTGAGTGGAAATTCTACAACTAGAAGGAAAGAGAAAAGCACACTGAGACTCAGAGGAGGTGCAAAAGTAAAGTGCAGAGGTACGGTGGTGCGCGCGGGGAAAGGGCTGGCAACTGAGGACGCAGCTGTCTTTTTCAATCGGGAGGGAGACACAAGCTCCTGACGGCCCTGAACTCCAGTTCCAGGCGAGTCTCTGTGGACCCAGACTCATATGGGGAGAAACTGGATTGTCTGGCAGCGGGCGGAACTCGAGGGCGGCTTTCTCTCAGAGGTGCTTGCAGCGATTACCGAGGGACACTGAGACCCGGGACCTCTTAGGGCAGGACTGAGGATCAGCCATAGCTGTTTGCTCCGCCCTGTTGATTCCGTGAGACCCTGCCCCACCCAAGCTGTGCGAAGAGGTTTTGTATATGAATGGCCTGGCCCTTTGCAATCTAAAATTACCTAACAAACTGCAGCTGGGTCAGACAGACCCAGAACTTCCAAGAGAAGGCCCAAGGCCCCACAGCAGCTTGCATTGCTTCATAGCTGGGCCTCAT